CCTCGCTTTGTTGCCCAGGCTAGAGTGAGTGCCGTGGTGTCAGCCTAGCTCACAGCAACTCAGACTCCTGGGCTCAAGCGATCCTCCTGCCTCGGCCTCCCGAGTAGCTGAGGCTACAGGCATGCGCCACCACGCCCAGCTAATTTTCTATATATATTAGTTGGGCCAATTAATTTTTCTATTTATAGTAGAGACGGGGTCTCGCTCTTGCTCAGGCTGGTTTCGAACTCCTGACCTCGAGCAATCTGCCTGCCTCGGCCTCCCAGAGTGCTAGGATGACAGGCGTGAGGATGGTGATGAAGTTCTAACACCGCCATTTTGCTAGTTTAATATCTATTATGTGCATTTTAATATAATATTTTATTTTCTCTCTTTGTTTTTCTTTAATGCCTTGCATCACCATTCCCAATATTATCAGATATTTGAGACTAGAGGAGAGTTAGTATTGTTTCCACCAAACCTCGCGTTTGCTTTCTGGTTAGCTAACTCACCGCTGTTCAAAGCAGTCCCTGGCATTACTTCCTATGAGGTGAATTCAAGCAGTGTAAAGGCAGGCATTGTCATAGCCACAGATACGCAGTTGGGTGCCGAAGTGTCTGTCAGCCCCAGGACAGAGGGGTGTCCTCGATGATCAACTTTTTCTCTGTCTCAAAAAAATAATAAAAATAAAAATAACTTCATCACCATATTCTTTTCTTTAAAAACTCAATTCCTGAATTAACTGCAAAGATTTCCTTCAAAAGTGGAAAATAAATTCTTCCTTTAACCTTCTCCCCTTTTAACCCGACAGCACGCGCTTCCGGGAATGACAGACAAAACCGGAGCTCACCGGTCCACTGCCCTCGGACACAGGAAATGAACTGAAATCCACAGAGGATCAGAGCATGGACTGAAGACAGAGCTATGTACATCTAGAATGAGAGGAAACTGGTTAGTGCCTTTTAAACAATTAAATCTTTCTAGGAGCAATAGCTGACGAAACATTACGTTTACACTTCCATTTTATTTTTCAGGGAAAAAATGAGGGAAGCAATAAATTGCAGTAGTTGATATTTGCCTACCTGAGACCATATGGGACCAAGTAAAATAAATTTATAGAAGTATATGCAATAGAGAAACAAGCTCTAACATAGTTTAGGAAGACCCTATTGACGATGGTGATTTAAGGCATCTGACAGAGAATTAAACCACAGTGAACATCTGACATAATACAAGCGACACGTGTTAATCTGCTGGGGCTCTTTCCTACTAATGGTAGCACAGTACTATAATTCGAATACTGGAGAAACGGCTGGAAAGACACTGGTCTGGTGTTAGAATAAATTTCCCTGCTTCAGATAAGAT